AGGATGCTGAGAATACCATGGACTAAACATATAAGCAGTGACAAAGTTCCAGAGACAATGGAAACAAAAAGGATACTTATACTTGACATCTGAAAGAGACCACTGAAATTTTTAGAGAAAAACAGCCCATAACATATCTGGTGAGCATGAATAAATGGATGGTGGAGCAAGGAGAGATAGCCGAAAGACAAAATTTATTAAGAGCCAAAATCGTCAATGTCCTGAAGTACACAGAAAAAAATCATCATCTGATTAAAATTCACCACTGAATTAAGTGCATTGTCAAAAATGGCTTTGATATAATTTTCAACAACTTTCAAAGATGGGAATGCTTCCACAGACGAAGAACATCAAGAATTCGCTTTCCTGACAAATCGGCCATGGTGAGAATCAAACCTGAGTCCCATGGTCAGAAATCTAACATACTAACCACTCTGCCATAGGCCCATATATCACTTAAGTTAGCCTCTATTTTTGTCAAAGGAAGCATGATCTTATAACGTATGACTCATGAAGGAAGTGAATATGACTTTGTGTTAGAAGTGCAATTTTTTTTTTCTTTCCTTTTAATCGGAATTATCTTTTAGGTGACCATGCAGAGTGAAAATTAACCAAGTTACTGGATTTTGAGATAACGTTAGTTTTTATCTGAACTTATTTAAACAAGGCATCCATTTTTCTTTAAATGCCAGACTTTTAAGAACAAGTGCAAAATGATATCTGAGTCTAGAGCCACGTTTTGTTTTTTACTTTTTATTTATTTTTTTAAACATTCTCAGACAACTTTGTTTTTAAAAGGCAGTTTGAATAGCTTCAGTGTAATGTAAGTGAAATGAAGATGAAAGAAATCCTAGTCCAAAATGAATAATGCTTGACAATGCTTCATCTATGCAAAATTTAAGATAATATTACTAGTGGAAATAAAGCAATGTAAAATAATTTTATTTTTTGAAATCAAAATTATTCTTTTCCATCTTTAGCACAAATAGATTTATTTTTTAACATTGCTACACTTTTCTGGATAATGACAAAAGATAGTGCAAACTCAAAAATATTACCTGGGTTGTCAAATTCTGGAACAATGTGGATGCCTCTAAGATGAACGAACTGTATAATTTCTGCTATATCTTTGTGCTTGTACCCCATAGACAGATGGTAGGCACCCTGTTAAATAGAGAAAAAAAAATTCTTTTTACAGTAAATTCTAAATTTATGGCATTTGATGTCATATAAAACCCCATTTAAATAAGTTTAAAACAAAGAAGAAAAATATCTGTCAGGCCTGATATGCCACTGAAGATGACTGGACTTGCTTAAGAGTCATATATGTTATTTTATGTAAGAGATTTACTTTGGTTATTTTAGCAACATAATCAACTCTTGTTAAGATATTTAATGTTGGCTATAGCCAGAACTTTAGTCATGTTTCTAAATAGCCTTGTCAAGTTTTGTCTCTTTTATGGATGTCATGCAGAATGTCAAACTTGTTCAGAAATGTTTTGGTTCGATTTGTTTTGTTTTATGGTATATAAAACACAATGGGTTATTTAATGCCAACAAGATTTTTATTGCTGGTAATGTTTTTTTACAAAAATGTATTGCTGGTAATAATGTTTTTTTACAAAAATGTATTGCTGGTAATAATGTTTTTTTACAAAAATGTATTGCTGGTAATAATGTTTTTTTACAAAAATGTATTGCTGGTAATAATTTTTTTCCTCAGAAATTCATTGCTGGTACTGAAATCTATTTTTACACTTTTATATTATTCTGACATAAGTTTGGGGTGGTAAATATTTGCCTATAGCTGCAACCCTAAGAGGTGCTACCAACCTGGGTCAGGGTGAACCTAGGAACACCAGCAATTAAGAGTTGGTAGCACACTCCTCAAAACCTCCTCATCAGAGGCCTTGTCGGGTGTAGTTTATTGTCTTAGCTAAGACATGGATGTAGTTTAATGTCATACCCAGGACGATGTTCAGAAATGTCTCAACCCAATATAACAATAAACCAAAAACATAGTAAATAAAACACTTATAGATTTATCAAGCCTAATTCGTTACCTCTTCATCACCGACAACCATTAGTGCTGTTGGTATGGCGTTTGCCTTTCATCGTAACTGTTCGGGTTTCAATTCTCAGTAGTGGATGCATACTGTTGATAAGTTCCAAAATATAAGACGAAATAGCCGTCCAGTGTTTTCTACATTCTGTTGAGGTTTCTTCTAGACTCAATGAATTGATTATGATTATAGATTTAAATATATTAGTAGTAGGCATCTGTTTATCTTGTTGTACACTCCGATCTTCTTCAGGTGATATATACTGGAATTTCAAACCAAACCCTTTTAGTCTAGGGGGGGGTAGATTGTTCTAATTCCACATGCCATGCCTTTTCTGGATATCTCGGTTTCAGTTAATTCCCTTTAGTAACTCAATTCTCCAAATTTTTGTTTACCTCTGTTTGGTCTAAATTCAGTTCTTTGGTTGTGTAACTGAAGTGACCTCTCCAAGGCACAGGCAAAGTCAATGGCAGTCATGTACTGCCCAGACTACATGACCCTCTTCTCAGCCATGCCGACAAGATCCAAAATTTAATACGGAATCCTATGAGACAACTTTTCTCTCCAGAATCTATCTTGCATATCTATAAGTCTACCATTCTTCCATGCTTAGAATATTGCTGCCACATATGGTCCAGTGCCCCTGCTATTTACCTTGAGCTCCTTGATAAAAATCCAAATAATCAGTACTATTATTGGTCCTGATATGGCAGTTCAGCATCATTTACTTTCCCACCACCATAAGGCTGCCTCTCTGTGCCTTTTATTTATATATATATATATATATATATATATACTTTAATAGTAATTGTTTGGATGAACTATGTACCTGTGTCACTATGGTACCTGGACTTATTTAATTTTAGTGCAGTACTAGACTGGCATTGAGATCTAATCAATATAAAGTAAAGCTGGTTAGATGTAACCATAAATTCTATGCTAACAGTTTTTCTCATACTACTTGCTTGTAGAAGACACTTCTGGCTCCATGCTTTCAAGCGAACTTTAATCTGCACAAATTTAAATGCAATGTCAATCACTATCTACTGTACTCATGATTACTCTTTTCTCTTTCCAATCATTATTAATGATTCTGTTCCTAAATATTCCACACCCTGTAACCCCTTGTGTCTTAGTGGCTTTACTGCCTTGCATGGAATGATACCGATTTAAAAAAAAAAAAAAAATTGTCTATATGGCAGACGATCCCAATAACTCACAATTCTACATTAACTGGTAATTGAACCAGATTTGCTGTTAGAAATACACTCGTCTTTTACATACATATACACACAAATATATATATATATATATATATATATATATATATGGTCTTGTTTTTGTATTCTCCAGTCTGTTAGGTACCTAAACCATCCTACTGCTCCCCTCCTCTGCAACTCCCCATTCTTTTCTTTATCACAAATAATGCAGTCTGCATTAGCGGCTTTATTGCATTGTCGCATCATCTGTTGACTTCCTTACTACAGAATGCTATTTGCATCTCCTTCTTCTTCTGCACCGCATTTTGAGATTTGTAACTATTAACGTCTCGATGCCAGCAAAAGTACCTGAACGGAGCAGATTTGGCAACAACATTATGTTTAGGGTTGGTTTTTCATTTGTTTTTTTTTGGTTTTTTTTTTTTTGGTTTTTTTTTTTTTTTATCTCATTGTTTTTGTTGTTGTTTATGTCTGTTTGGTTTTTGTTTTGTTTTTCTCTTTTTATTTGCTTCTTTTTTTTTGCTTCTTTTTTTTTGCTTCTTTTTTTTTGTTATACTTTTTTCTTTCTCTCTTTTTTCTTTTTTGTTTTCATTTTCTCATCTTTCTCTTTTACCTTCCCTTTTTCTTTCTTTCTTTCTCTGTTTTTCTTTCTTTCTCTGTTTTCTCTCTGTTTTCTCTCTTTTCTCTCTCTTTCTCTGTTTTCTCTCTCGCTTTTTCTCTCTCTCTCGCTTTTTCTCTCTCTTTTTTCACTCTCTCTCTCTCTCTCTTTTCACTCTCTCTCTCTCTCTTTTCACTCTCTCTCTCTCTCTTTTCACTCTCTCTCTCTCTTTTCTCTCTTTTTCATTGTCCTTTTTTCGTTCTTTTTTCATTCTTTTTCGTTCTTTTTCGTTCTCTTTGGTTGATCTTTTCTTCTCTTTTTCTTGTTCATTTTCCTGTTATTTCATCTCTTATTCTGTTTTTTTTTTTTTCTTACATTTTTTTATATCCAGCTTTGAAATATAATTGTTAGTAAACACTATGATCTTGACCAAGGTCAAATAAAAAAAAAAAATGATTCAACTATCAACTCGTACTATTTACATTGTTTGGGCTGTTGTCCTCATTTTGTTACCATATTCATGATGTTTCAGCAATTGTATGCTCTGAACTTCAAGTGATTGGAATTTTAAATCAAACCCTTTATTTTGAATACATGGCCCAGTGGATAAAAGTGTTGGTTGAAAGCAGTGACTTAACCAAAGAGCTATGAGTTCAATACCTAGCTACAGCAGAGGTGAACAAAAAAAATAAGTAACTTGCAGAGTTGAGTTAAAGGGAGATAACTGATACTGAAACATATGGAAGAGGTATGGCACGTGGAACTAGAACAATCTGCCCCAAGGCAGAAATAAAGGGTCGGTTTGAAATTCCAATCACCTGAAGAAGGCCGGTGTGTACAATGACCGAAACATTGTTCAGATTGTTGTCCTCATCTTTATTGTGATATTCACAATGTAAATATTGTAAATATTTACAATACCTCATCTCAGAAATATAGACAGATCCTGAAGAAGACCAGAGTGTACAAAGGCTGAAACGTCATGAATATGACAGTAAAGATGAGGACAACAGTCTGAACAATGTAAATAGTGTAAATAATTACAATATTTCATCTTAGAAATATAGACAAACTATCAACTCGAGTAAATGTCAATCTTCTTTTTTCCTTATTTTTCAGATGATTTGGTTGTCAAAGAGTCTGGTTCTTATCTGTCTGCTAAACAAGTGTGGGGAGCTCTAAGGGCTCTTGAGACACTCACTCAGTTGGTTGTAAAAAGTCCTGCTGGTGAGGTAAGTACAGTTTTATAAACCTATGTTCAAAGATGAGATAACCATTTCCTACATAAAATCCAGGTAACAGATAACGAGCATCTCTGAAGAGTAAAAAACATTGAAAGAATCTGTGTACAGTAACATTACTGAAAAATGTATGTCAAGCCAGTGTGAATTTCTTTGCTTCCTAAAATATGCCAAGCAAGACTTGAAATGGCTTCCAGCAAATGAAGCCTCTAGGTCTTAGCAAGGAGCGTGCTTCTTCAAACTCTGTAGATTGTCGCTACAGAATCGCAAACAAAGAACTCTACCAAACCGCATCACTTTTCAGCAATAGCAACAACGAAAATGGATAGCACATGTAACTTGTATAGAAAATAAAGACATAATCAGGATGTCAACATTCTATGTAAAAAAAAAAAAAAAAAAATTTACAAAGGAAATGCCCGTTAATACTAGAAAGAGCAGTAATAGCTACTGAATCTTAAAAACATATTTTCCAGAAAAATTGTTTTAATTTACAACCAACAATAGCACTGGCTGCTTGGTCAGTGAGTGCCAAATGTTTCCTTATAAGGAAACCACTAATATTAACATTGTCATCCTGGAGACAGTAGAACATTAGTTTGGGAAGACTAGTTAGGATTTTAGGGGCAATACATAATTTTTAAATAAAATTCTGTTATATCTATCTATATATAAAATACAGCTATATCTATCTATCTATATATAAAATACAGCTATATCTATCTATCTATATATAAAATACAGCTATATCTATCTATCTATATATAAAATACAGCTATATCTATCTATCTATATATAAAATACAGCTATATCTATCTATCTATATATAAAATACAGCCATATCTATTATCTATATATAAAATACAGCCATATCTATCTATCTATATATAAAATACAGCTATATCTATCTATCTATATATAAAATACAGCTATATCTATCTATCTATATATAAAATACAGCTATATATCTATCTATATATAAAATACAGCTATATCTATCTATCTATATATAAAATACAGCCATATCTATCTATCTATATATAAAATACAGCTATATCTATCTATCTATATATAAAATACAGCTATATCATCTATCTATATATAAAATACAGCTATATCTATCTATCTATATATAAAATACATATATCTATATATAAAATACAGCTATATCTATATATAAAATACAGCATATCTATATATAAAATACAGCCATATCTATATATAAAATACAGCCATATCTATATATAAAATACAGCTATATCTATATATAAAATACAGCTATATCTATCTATAAAATACAGCTATATCTATCTATAAAATACAGCTATATCTATCTATAAAATACAGCTATATCTATCTATCTATAAAATACAGCTATATCTATCTATCTATAAAATACAGCTATATCTATCTATCTATAAAATACAGCTATATCTATCTATCTATAAAATACAGCTATATCTATCTATCTATAAAATACAGCTATATATCTATCTATAAAATAAAATACATCTATCTATCTATCTATAAAATACAGCTATATCTATCTATCTATAAAATACTGTTATATCTATCTATCTATCTATATAAAATACTGTTATATCTATCTATATATAAATACTGTTATATCTATCTATATATAAAATAAATCTATCTATCTATATATAAAATACTGTTATATCTATCTATATATAAAATACTGTTATATCTATCTATTATATAAAATACAGCTATATTCATCTATCTATAAAATACAGCTATATCTATCTATCTATAAAATACAGCTATATCTATCTATCTATAAAATACAGCTATATCTATCTATCTATAAAATACTGTTATATCTATCTATCTATATATATATAAAAATACTGTTATATCTATGTATATATAAAATACTGTTATATCTATCTATGTATATATAAAATACTGTTATATCTATCTATCTATATATAAATTACTGTTATATCTATATATAAATTACTGTTATATCTATATATAAAATACTGTTTTATCTATATATAAAATACTGTTTTATCTATATATAAAATACTGTTTTATCTATATATAAAATACTGTTATATCTATATATAAAATACTGTTATATCTATATATAAAATACTGTTATATCTATATATAAAATACTGTTATATCTATCTATATATAAAATACTGTTATATCTATTCTATCTATCTATCTATATATAAAATACTATTATATCTATCTATATATATATAAAATACTGTTGTATCTATCTATCTATATATAAAATACTGTTATATCTATGTATATATCAAATTCTGTGACTTCTGTTAGTCCATCTGTCTATCAAATACTCTAAAATAGTCATACATAGTGTTGTAGCATACCTACAAATGACAATGGGTATGTCCTCATTCACATAAATACAGTGGTAAATATTGTATATTGATTTGCAGTTTTTTGCTTTAATAAACAAAGCAAGACAATATTTTTTCTGACAATTTTTGGTGAAAAAAACTATTGAATCATTAACAAATAAAATTGATGTGTTATGTTTCCTCCTTGTTATAAACTCAATTGAAATTTACAAGAGAGAATTTTAAAGAAGAAAAATTCTGAACATGAAGGTGGTTACTTCTAAAAGAACATGATTTAATAATGACTCAAACTTTTGAGATTGTGAAAAGTAGGGATAAGGCCGGAGCATACAATTGCTGAAACATTGTGAATATGGCAGCAAAAATAAGGACAACAGTGTGAACAATGTAAATAATGTAAGTAGTTACAATACCTCGTTTAAGAAATATAGACAGATAAAATGAATGTATTGAAAATATTTATTAAATTATGATAAAATTTATTCCGAGAATAACAATTAATTAAGGACATTCCCATAAAAAAATTATTGATGGTGAATTAGCTAAAATATTTTTTTTATAGAAAATTAGAGTAAAATTTACACAATTCATTTCTGTATTTATTTTTATATCATAATTTTTTAGTATTTTTATTATAATTTTTTAGTATTTTTATTATAATTTTTTAGGATTTTTATTATAATTTTTTAGGATTTTTATTATAATTTTTAATATTTTTATAGCATTAATATTTCAATTTTTCTTATGTCTTGAATGTTTCAATGGTAATTTCATGATGCTACTAACCACTGTAAATGAAAACAAAGTTAAAAAAAAAAAAAAAGCATTTTGATTTTAAAATGATTTAAAAATATTTTTTCAGTACAATTAAAGTTGTTTTTTAGGACATTTCCAGGACAATGGTGAAAAAAAAAAAATTAGTCTGGCTCCCTGATACAAAGTCTGTCTGGGAAATGATCTAGACATTTAATATTAATCCATTGAATCTACAGTAGCAATTTATGAGTATCTAATACCAATAATGGGTTTACCAGATATATGTGAATGGCTTTGCTATCTACAGTTGGCACAGATTTATAAACATTCCATGCATTCAATACTGTTGCCATATCTGGTCTGGTTCTCCTGCTGTACATCTCAAGATTCTTGACAAAATCTAAAGAAGGGTCTGTAATGTAATCGATCCTGACCAAGCATCTTGAGTTCCATCATTTTCTTGCTGCCAGGACATAGATTCTCTCTTTTCTACAAATGTTTTCATATCTAAGCAAAGTATTAAGAAACAGGAAAATTTTATTAAAAAAGAATATTAATAGTTAAATAATACCAATCCTCCTTTATAGCAGTGAACGTTGAACAATCTCCTCACAGATGAAGAAGAGACTTGAAGCAAAAGAAATGTGGTTCTGCAGAAGGATACTGAGAATACCAAGGATCAAACATGTAAGCAACGACAAAATGGAAACAAAAATGACATTGGAAGAGCCAGTTGTAATTTGTAAGGCACATAATGAGAAAAAGTGACTTGGAAAATTTGATACAGGATCGATTGAATTCAAGAGGGACAGAGGAAAACAATGTCATACACCATGTTAAGTAAATGGATGTCAGAGTAAGGTTAGAGAGAGATAATAAAACAACAAAAATTATTAAGAGCTGCAAAGGACAGGAAATTGTGGAGAGATATAATTGCCAACATCCTAAAAGGACACAGCGCAAACAAGAAGAAAGCAAGCAAGCAATACAAATGTATATAGATATGCTTCATAGACTATGAAATTGTGGAGAGTCGTGATCATCAATCATCTGAATGGACGTGGCACATAGAAGCAGCAGCATATAAATGGAATATGGAAGAGTTCATAAATAGAATATTTAGGGGTATATAAGTAGAATATTTAGGAGAATATAAATGGAATATTGAAGTGAACATAAATAGAATATTTAGGAGAATATAAATGGAATATTGAAGGGAACATAAATAGAATATTTAGGAGAATATAAATGGAATATTGAAGATAACATAAATAGAATATTTAGGAGAATATAAATGGAATATTGAAGATAACATAAATAGAATATTTAGGAGAATATAAATGGAATATTGAAGAGAACATAAATAGAATATTTAGGAGAATATAAATGGAATATTGAAGGGATAGTCGTACTTTAGACCCTGTTGGAGTACTTTGCCAAGTTTTATTTGAATATCCCACTAAATACAAGGCTCGAGAGCCCATGAGGGTAGAGGGTTGCAGCTGAAATGATTATGATGAATGTGGTGTGAGATGAACAAAAGAGAAAGTGACGATTATGAAGAAAGGATACTATTTTTTTTATTTTGAATTTTAAAAAAAAATTATAAAAATTAAATTCTGTGTGCATATTTTCTCTTTGCAGTTGTTCATCAAAGATGTTGTCATTGGAGACTATCCTCGCTTCTCTCATCGTGGTGTCATGATCGACACTTCTCGTCATTACCTTTACAAGGATGTAATTTTTGATGTTCTGGTAAGACAAGTGCTTATCTTTTCATTTAAGTTTTGTTAATATTTCCTGGATTGTGAAAATATTAAGAGCAGTACATGCTTAATATATGCCAGGACACACACACACACACACACACACACACACACATATATATATATATATAACTATGCTCGTTTCGAAAAAAAACCTCGAATTTTTGATTTGCAAATAATCAAATCAATCCTGAGGGAGGGGGAAAAAATGTTTTAAAAAAAAAGAAAGAGCTAGAAACATGAAAGTCTGTCGAAAAAAAATCGCACAGATATAGGTTCAAAGCCCAAAGAAAAAACCCTGACACGAGTAAACAACTAACAAAAGAGCTCAATACAACTGTAGAGCCGACCTAGATAAACCTAGTAAGCCAGACAAACCTACCCAGGTAGAAAACAAGAAAAAACACAAGAACACCGGGGGGGTGAATAAATAATTCAACCCCCACCTTGTGTTTTTTCTTGTTTTTCTTTTTCTTTGGTCACATGGTATGTTTTTGATTATCGCCTATAAATATGCTGTTTCTCTTGCCTCTTTAGCCAGCTTTCCCTGACAATCCGCTTAGGTGAAACCTGGATAGGTTTGTCTGGCTCACTAGGTATGCCCAATGTAGCAAACTTAATCAATGGACATAACAAGAAAAAAAACTAGGGATAAACCACGTACTGCCTCTGCTAGATGTAACTGTAGAAACAAGGAAGCCTGCCCTTCCAGGGAAAGTACCATCAGGAGTGCGTGGTATATCAAGTTAAAATACACAAGGATATAATTAACAACAACAACGATGTAAATCCTAAAGTATACATAGGATCCACTTAAAATATTTTTTTTAAAATGATATTACAACCATATGAGTAGCTTTAATAATGAAAAATCCAAGCATAGTACTACATTATCTACCTATATATGGAAAATTAGATGAGACAATAATAAAGACCCCATTTTGAAATGGGAAATATTAAAAAGATGTTCCAAATATAGAGCAAATAACAAAATTTGTCAACTATGTCTAGAGGAAAAATTAGCTATAGTTTATAGGAAGAACCTGATCATTTATTAAATTCTAAACCTGAAATCCTAAGCAAATGTAGACATAGAAAACATTGGTTATTAGACTAAGTCTCCTCTGCTCATATTTTTTTTTTTTTTTTTTTTTTTTTTACCTCGATTGAATAAATGGTTCACCATCCCCAGTTGTCCGAGTTTCTCTTCCTTTTTTATTGTTTTATCTCAATTTGAATAAATGGTTCCCCCACCCTGTTGAGTTTTTTTTTTTTTGGGTCACGTGGTTATGATTTTTTGTTTATAGGCTATAAATATTCCGTTCTTTTGTTACCTTTTTAGCCAGCCATCCCTGACGATCCGTTTAGGTGAAACCTTGGTAGGTTTGTCTGGCTCTCTAGGTTTAACTATAATATATATATATATATATATATATATATATATATATATATATATATATATAAAATGATAGGAGGCACTGTATAGTACTAGATAGCAGCTCAGATTGAAGAATCAGTGAGTTGTGTTCAAATTACAAGTGAATCTGTTACATTCACTTACGTATTAATACCCTTGGGAAAAGTATGAATCCTCTTCTTCTATCCTCCCCAGTTATTATTTATACATATATATATGTATATATATATATAATCAAAATTAAAATAACTGATCCAACGTGCAACTTTCGGATAATAAGTGTGACATTCCTGTATTTATTGAACAATATAGTTCATGCCACATTGACGGAAAACCTACCAGTACAAATATATATTCTGTTTATACAGTATTTATATAAACAAAAATATTTAAGTAATGCTCTGTTTATAATAAACAGTATTAACAACATTTACCGGCCTGAATGTTTGATAAATCTTAGAGAAAATATGTCCTTTGACATGAATCAAACCTGTATCCTACATGGAACTGTCATATAGCCTATACCATGTAGCTACAAAGGATGTAATTCCAACAGTAATTTAACCTTGCTAACCAGACACTTCCCCTGTAGCTAAATGGTATAGCATGTCAGGCTATATGACAGTTCTGTGTAGAATACAGGTTCAATTCCTGTTGGAGGACACATATTTTCTTTGAGATTTCTCGGACATTCAGGCCGGTGAATGTTGTTTAATACTGTTTATTATAAACAGAGCATTTACTTAAATATTTGTATCTATAAAAAAATAACATATAAACAGAAAATATATTTAAATAATTGTCGGACTTAGTCCATTTCATAATATATGATGTCACACACACACACACACACATATGTATGTGTATATATATATATATATATATATATATATATATATATTATTATCAATGGCCATAAGCCCTTTCCTTTTGCCTGTCTCCTCTCTCTCCTGCCACTCCTGTCTCTCTCTCTCTCTCTCTCTCTCTCTCTCAACAGTGAGAATTACTTTTATTACCAAGAGATCAATTAGAAACAATGCAACTCAATTGATAAGATGTTTGGCATATGAGAGAGGAGTTTCAGCTATGACAGTCCAAAAAGAAGTGAAAAAGACTTGAAAATGAAATCGTGCATGAAACATGTGAGGCACCTTGTTACTCCAGAACAGAAAGTTAGAAGGTTAGAGTGGGTGAAGATCAACTTGAAGAAGTTGGGAAATGATCCTGATATATAATATGAACTTTCTTTCAATCCTTCATGAGCTTCCGATCTTAGCTATGATTAATTAATGATGGACATGTCATTTTCGTTTATGATTGATTTCATCACAGTTTTTCTGTTAAGCTTGGAGAGTAATTAATTATACATTCTTATTGCTCAAAGTAGAGTCAAATATTATTGTAAAAACCTTGTGGAGAATTCCAGTAAGATATCTTTAATCATTTCTATGATACAACGGTTCATAGCTTAATCTGACAAATGGACAATTTTGCTGTTACACCTATTATATATATATATATATATATATATATATATATATAATTTCTATCCCCTATCCTTCTCTTCATCCTTTCCTCTATCACTCCTCTTTGCTCTTGGTCCAACTCTGTGTAACCCCTTGCGTGCTAGTGGCTTCTCACCTTGCTTGGGGTGAAATGCTTAAAAAAGAAAAAACTGCCATTAGCCCTTTTCTTTTGTGTGTCTTCTCTCACTCATCAGTCTCTATTTCTGTCTTCTACAACTCCCTAATTTTATTTTATTTTTTTTTACTTTTTGTTTCAGGAGGGGATGGCCCAGAACAAAATGAATGTTCTCCACTGGCACATGGTTGACGATCAATCATTCCCATATGAGAGTAAAGTGTTCCCTGAACTTAGTGAGAAAGTAAGTGCTTCTTAAGACATTTATACCAACATATAAGCTTTTAGCAGAATTAATGAAAGTGACAAATAGTGGACATGTCTGAATTTGGACCAAACAGTGGTAAACAAAAACTTGGAGAATCAAGTTACTAAAGGGAATTAACTGAAACTGAGATATCCAGAAAAGGCATGGCATGTGGAATTAGAACAATCTACCCCCCCCCATAGACTAAAAGGGTTTGGTTTGAAATTCCAGTATATATCACCTGAAGAAGATCGGAGTGTACAACAAGATAAACAGATGCCTACTACTAATATATTTAAATCTATAATCATAATTAAGTAATTCATCGAGTCTAGGAGAAACCTCAACAAAATGTAGAAAACACTGGACGGCTATTTCGTCTTATATTTTGGAACTCATCAACAGTATGCATACACTACTAAGAATTGAAACCTGAACAGTTACGATGAGAGGCAAACGCCATACCAACTGCACTAATGGTTGTCGGTGACGAAGAGGTAACGAATTAGACTTGATAAATCTATAAGCGTTTCATTTACTAGGTTTTGGTTTATTGTTATATTGGGTTGAGACATTTCTGAACATCATCCTGGGTATGACATTAAACTACATCCGTGTACTAGCTAAGACGATAAACTTACATCCGATAGCAAGGCCTCTGATCAGGAGGTTTTGAGGAGTATGCTACCAACTCTTAATTGCCGGTGTTCCCAGGTCCACCCTGACCCGGGGTGGCAGCACCTGTTATGGTCCCAGATATAGGCAAATAGTTACATCACCCCAAACTGGGGTCAAAACACTATGAAAGTGTAAAAATAATTTTTAGTTCCAGCAAAATTATTACCAGCAATAGATTTTTGAAAAAAAAAATATTACCAGCAATACATTTTTGGGTAAAAAAAATACTACCAGCAATAAAAATCTTGTTGGCATTAAATAACCCATTGAGGTTGATATGCCGTAAAACAAATCGAACCAAAACATTTCTGAACAAGTTTGACATTCTGCATGACACCCATAAAAGAGACAAAACTTGACAAGGCTATTTAGAAACGTGAATAAAGTTCTGGCTATAGCCAACATTAAATATCTTAACAAGAGTTGATTATGTTGCTAAAATAACCAAAGTAAATCTCTTACATAAAATAACATATATGACTCTTAAGCAAGTCCAGTCATCTTCAGTGCCATATCAGGCCTGACATATTTTTTAGATATTTTTCTTTGTTTTAAACTTAATTAAATAGGGTTTTATATGACATCAAATGCCGTAAATTTAGAATTTATTGTAAAAAGAATCTTTTTTTTATTTTTATTTAACAGGGTGCCTACCATCCATCTATGGTGTACAAGCACAAAGATATAGCAGAAATTATACAGTTCGCTCGTCTAAGAGGCATCCGCATTGTTCCAGAATTTGACAACCCAGGTAATATTTTTGATTCTGCGCTATCTTTTGTCATTATCCAAAAATGTGTAGGGATGTTAAAAATAAACCTATTTGTCTTAAAGATGGAAAAGAATAATTTTGATTTCAAAAAATAAATTTTTTTACAATTCTTTATTTCCACTAGTAATATTATCTGCAATTTTCATTAGATGAAGCATTGTCAAACATTATTCATTTTGGACTAGGATTTCTTTCATCTTCATTTCAATTGATTTATTTCTACTAGTAGTATTAGTAGTAGTAATATTATATGGAATTTTCATCAGAATTGTCTAGCATTATTCATTTTTGACTAGAATTTCTTTTATCTTAACTTCAATTTCTTTTCATGATTTACAATGTATCATCTGATAACATGAATTCAATATTACTATTACTAATACATTAAATAGTCTTGATTATAGATGAGCTTCAAAAATATGGTAACAGGTTGTTCATAAAATAATGCTACATTTTTGTAGATGGAACTAGGCCACTATCAGACCATGAAAATGCTGGATGACCGAATTCACCCCTACAAAAACTGTATATAAACACCATCTTGCCAGCTCATTCCACATATATACTGATGTGTTATCAAATGTAGGACAAAGCTTAAATCAGGAAATAAAACAATAATCGATGTTTCCAAACTAGGGTTTTATTATTTCAAGCAATACAAAAGCTAAAAAAAAAATAGCCTAAAACCAAAATATATATATATATATATATATATATATATATATACACATACACACACACACACAAGGTGCAATGGATAAATTGTCATCTAAATTATGCAAAAATGAAAATAACACTGACATCTCATTTTAACAGATATATTTACCAAAATTACGCAAAAATATCTTGAAATATTTAAGAGGAAATTTATTCAATAAAATCACCATTGCCTTCAACCAAGGCCTCCAGATGACTTTGGAATCTCCTGTAACTGTTCTTGATGGTCTCCTTGTTTAAGTTGGTGAATGCTGCCATAATCCTTGCCTTCAGTTCATCTTTGGTTTTACAAAAAGTTTTGTTGAATTTTTTTGCTCAACTGCATTCCACACATAATAATCAATGGGGTGTCTGTCTGGGGATTTAAGTAGTTAAAGGTGCGGGGGCAGAAATTATCTGACAGCAATGACTGGGTTCTCCTGCTTGTTTGGTATGGTTCAGAGTGTTAGACATAGGGTCTTCTAACAGCCACTCTTGTGATCCAGGACAGCGCTATCTCCTCAAGGCACTTGATGCAGGCCTCCATGTTGAGTCTGAAGATCTGTGAGATGATGAATGGTGGTATAACATCATCATCACTAAGGATTACTCCAAACATCATGATGTTAACTGGATATATTATCCTTCTCTTTCCAAATCCTCTGCACTCTCCTCAGATTGACACCCAATCCTCTCTGAAATATTCATATTGGAGCTTCCGGCATGAATGCTAAGCAGTACAGCATGCTGTTTCTAAATTCCTGTTGGCATGGTGCTATTTTTCTTGCAGATAATGCCCAACTGATCCTTCTATATTGTGTAGTTGACAAAAACAAATAACACACATAAGCACACACAATGGCAACAATTTACATATCGCATCCTGTATACTTTCTATTCTGAATAGATAAATATACAGCTATATATGATGCGTTCTGTGAAGGAGGGGCTTATTCAAGAAAAAATCAAAAATTGCTTTTTCCACTGCAAATTATTCATTATAACATATCCAATTATTTTACAAAAAAATTTGAGCCAATTACACAATATTTCAAGTTCAATTTAGGTTTATAGTTCATAATCATGCAATAAGATGAGGTAACATAAGCCCTAGATTTGTCTATGGAATATCATTAAATTATTGTTATATAATTATAGTGAGATCATTAAGGTTTACAACCAAAAGCATTTTATTTTTGGTTATATATTAATTTAAAATATTCCCCTTTACAGGCTTTATTTTTGAAATGGTATAAGATCATTCTAAATTTCAGAATTTTGCTATTGCCCATCAAAATGACTGAAAGAAAGCAACCTAAAAACAACAACGCAAAAGAGGTAACATAGCATAAGCAAATTATCACCAGTTTGTTCAACTTAGGAAACTTAGCATTGCAACCAAAGTATTCTAAAATGCTGCCAATAACAAAGGAGAAAATGAAAAATACCTAACAACAAATTGAATACATCATCAAATTTATATTATTTTCATTTATTTGTTATGTAATGACAAATTTTTAATTAAGTTTATTCTCTTCAACAGGTCACACATATTCTTGGGGCCTTGGCCGGCCTGACTTACTAACTCAATGCTACGAGAGAAGCCGGCCTGTCAATGGCTACTTGGGACCAATTGACCCTACCAAAAACATGAGCTACACATTCCTTAAGAAACTCCTCAATGAAGTTTTACATGTATTTAAAGATAAATACATTCACCTCGGGGGTGATGAGGTACCTCTTACTTGTTGGTATGTATTCTTTCTTCATGTTTTACAATATCTGATTTTTAAAAAGATTTTTTGTTCTTTTCTATTCTCAGATGTCTTTTTCCTTGAATAATGCAATTTTTTTTTTAAGAATAAATAATTATATTTCATCTTTTTCCAGAATGAGGCTTTTAAATTTGCTTATTTTCAGAATGAAGCATTTTGAGTGTGCCCATTCCTGAAATGGGGTGTCCAAGTGTGCCCATTCCTGGAATGGGGTGTCCGAGTGTGCCCATTCCTGGAATGGGGTGTCCGAGTGTGCCCATTCCTGGAATG